GGGAACAGCTGAAGCGCCGTGCGGTTGCCGTTGCTGCGGGCGGGGGGGCCTGCAGAGCTTCCCCTGGAAACCTCTCTCCTGCGAGGTCTGGCTGCGGAGGAGTTCAGGGCAGTTCTGTCAAAATACTTGTGCTACCTGTCTTGCGAAGAAGGGAAAAAAAACCCAACACCCCTACCAAACCAACTTTCTCTTCCGTGTGGGTAGATGGTAGTTCAAATAACTAAACCAATTGTGATTTGTGGTTAAAAAAAAGCCCCAAGCTTATTGAAGAAATGTATTCAACCTTTATTAGTTTTTATTCTGCCCTGATCTATTTTTTTCTCTTTCTATATTTTGTGGGGACCAGAACTGATTTTCATTTCACCTCGACATAAGAAATAAATCTTTTGCAGTGAGAACAATCATTCACTGGAACAACCTCCCCAGGGGTGTGGTAGTCCCCATCACTGGAGGTTTTCAAGACGTGACTGGCCAGGGTGCTAGATAACCTCATCTGGGCTCCCTTTCCCACAAAAGGCTGGACAAGATGGTCTTTCGAGGTCCCTTCCAACCTGGCCTATTCTATGATTTTACCCGTTAACATGTATTAATGTGCTTTCAAAGGTTATTTTTACTTAAAACAGAGGGTTAATGAGAAGACAGAACTGGAGGGTGGATAAGTAGTTCTATTTAACATACTTGGAAGGGGAGAGGATGTAAATGGTTAGTTCTGCTTGAATAGATTAGGTGGCAGAAGCATAAGATGATGCTGAATTATCTTTCCATAAAGAAAACGGTGCGGCTAAATCTTACATTTTTGGGGGGGTTTAGGCTGTAGCTTGTAAAAGTTTTTCAGAAGATAAATGACATCTAAAAAGCAATTTGGAAATATAGTTGGCATACTAAAACTAATTAAAGATCTAAAATAAAAAAGTAAGTTTCCCATTGTGGGGGAGAAAAACCCCAACCAACAAACAAGCCAAAAAAAAACCCAACACCAAAAGGTCTTTGGAAGTATTAAAGAATGCTATCAGAATATGCATTTGGGGTTTTTTTTCCTGTATTAACATAGTTGCTTTGCTTTCCTAGTTTATATTTCAGTTCTTTGTACATTCAGCACTTCAAAACAATATGTAACACATTCTGTAGGCATTATTTTATATCTGATACAGTAATACTAGTGTCACTTTTGTAGCCTTTTTTAAAAGTACTGAATTGAGTAGGCAGATTGTGCTTGATAGTCTCTGAACTGCTAAGTCCCATAGTGCAGTATAGCATTTTGCTGACTTAGAAGCTTGGATCTACAGGTAATATATCACGTTTGCATGATCTTAGGTGTGGTCTGTTAGCTCATGTACTTAATATTTCTAATCTGGGACATGATACCCTACAAATGTTGCAGTGTAATGCTTCCACACCTGACTAGACTTGTGTCCAGTTGGCATGGCATTTCTGCGCTGTGTCCCCAGGACTTTTGATTCCTTTAACTCCTGGAGAGCATGCTTCGGCTTTCTGCACTCGGGTCTGATACAACTGAAAGGTCATCATCCATCTTTAAATACTGTCTGAATGATAAAGCTGTGAACTCTTTAATGACTTTCGTATAATTTTAAGTTGAAAAAATAGTTTACTGTGTGGAATAAGGATGTTTTCTATTTGCTTTTATTTATAAAATGCTCTGCAGCGTGAGTCTTGATGATTTAGGAGAGAATCAGAACTGTATGTTAAAACTGTGACTGCTGAAACAAACATTCATTGACTTTGTTTCGGTGAGGGGTTTTGCCAAATGAGAAGCAAGGGTGGTGACCCTCTTCAGTTCAGGCACAAGTGATTCAGGAGGCCGAAAGCACCTTTAATTCATACAAACTCTTCTCATTAGCATGGAGGGACTCCAAAGGACCCAATGTATTTAGAAACAGATTTGCAACTTGGTTGCATGGTAAGGGCCTTTAGAGTAAAAGTATGTAGACAGCATGTACTTGAGTGTTTGTGAGGACAAGGTCTAAGCTTGTTCTAAGTAACTGTTGCTGATGTCCATAATCTGGAATTCTTGGTGCTAGTTGAGTATTTCCCAGCTGCCACTTGGCTGTCTTCTCAAATAGCTGTGTTGTAGGAGTAACTTCTTTTCGTGTGTGTCTGAATGCTATGTGACAACTTACTGACAAAAAGCCAACGAAGAGATGAGTTTCATGCTGTTCAAGATGCTTGGGTTTGGTTTTTTTGCTTTTCTGGGGTGAGGGCTAGTTCTGTAGAAGAATCCATTAATATGTTGTGCACTGGTTCCAATCGGTGCTACTGTCATCAGCGTAAATCACAGGAAATAATGTTCGGAGTGAGAGGTGATCTGTCACGGAAGTGACTCTGCTTGTGAAGTGCCTGTAATGTTCAGTGTCAGAGTCAGACTCCACTTGGTTTTGAGGATCAAAAGCTGTACTTCACCTCTCGGCATAATGTGCACCTATTTTAATACATGCGTTACCTCATGTCCCTCCCATGTGGAATACCTATAGCCATTAATATTTCTGTAATACCTGCTTTTGCACGGCTTTAAATCTTATGAGGGCATCTGTATAATTTGATCAAGTGTTGCTTGTTAGAACTGTCTACTGCCTGCCACTTTCTTTAGAGACCCCGAAGGTTTTAGAATTGTATGCTACACCTATTTGTATCTTATGCTGATAAGAACTCATGCTACTGCTAAAAGAAGCTGTTGTGGCCACTTAAGTCCTAGGTAGTGTGTTTTATGTGACAGCTGTGAAGCAGAACAAGGTACTGAGCTGAGTTAAAACTAAGGCAGGTCCTTCTGCTCTTTTTCTCTGACTTGGAGGGACAGTGTTTTGGCAGTTGTATTGTACTAAGATTCATGCAGGTTTGAAGCCTATATCTCAGCCACCTTCATGCTTGCCAAATTCTGAGTAGGAGTCCAGCCAACTTAGCAAACAGAGGTACTGTAGTGGCTTTTGGAAGACCTACTGTCTTCTATCAAGCAGAAGAACTTACCTCACTAATAAGGGGAGAATTGGAGATGCTCTTTCCAGGTGTGTGCATTGAGTCATTGTGATTTTATTCTGTTGTGCAAAAGTCATAAACTTTTCTCACAGCGAGCGTAATACAATTATTTCAATCTGTATACCCAGTGATTCCCCCAAAAAGGGGCTGCTTTATGCTTATTTCCATTGCGCGACAATATTTCCTGTGAGCCCTGTGCTGCATAAGTCTTTTGTTCTCCTGCTTTTGTGCTCAGCGTAAATCAGAACAATCTCCTATGCTCAGTAATATCATGTAATATGGTATTTCATCATGTGTTACAACGCTTTGAGCATGTTAACCCCACACAAGTATTTTGACATACTGCATGTTGATTTCCAAATTCCTGATACTGCAGTGCTCCCTCAAATCCAGCAGACCTGTATGCAAATATGCTGAGAACTGTAGGAAGGTCTTTAGAATATAGAGGATCACCTGTGCGTTAGGCTTCATGTTGAAGGCATTTGAAAGTCCTGTTTCCTTTTCAGTAAGAAACAGTCTCCTTGAATTTGATATAATTGGCAGGTTCCTTGTACTTCAAGCTCTGATGTTTAAGCTTTGTGAATGAGAACTGAGCAACAGCTAAACATTTATACCAGTTCAGGATATTTTCTTCTGAAGTGTCTCTTATTTGACAGAGTTTGGTATTGTATTTTTATGGGGACTTCTGAGGTGCCATTTCATGTTTTTCTATGTGTCTTTACAGGAACTGACAACAGCTTTGGAGAAGAATCCAGATGATGCCGAATATTATTGTCAACGAGCTTATGCTCATATTCTTCTACAGAAATATGCTGGTAAAATCTTCAGACAACACAGAATCCTCTTAAAAGTGTATTATGACACATTCTTTACAGAAGATGTCTTCAATCTGCAACCAAATATAGTAATAACAGAAAGTGTTATCTGTAACTTAATATGCTGCTTCTACAGTTAGGGTATAAATTTATAATTTTCTTTGTTTTGTTTCTGCAAAACTTCCAATGAATTGGGTACTCTGCAGTCCCAGCTTTCCATTTGATTTTAGCCTAGTATTATCTTGGCGGCTTTTTTTTTTTTTAAATAGACTTCTTAAGCAGATTTTAAGCTGTGCGTTGTAAAAATCTTCCATCCTTATGTTTTTGGTAGAGACTGAATCCTGTCATGGTAGGGATGTGATAACTGAATAATACCTGGGAAAAAGATTAACTGAATGACTAAAGATTTGGTCTATTTTTTCTTTCCAGTAAAAAACAAACAGATTCACACTTCAGATCCAAGTAGAGGATTTGACTAAATGAAAGTCGTGCTTCATCTTACATAGAGCTCTGTAGCTGAATGAAGGGTTCATCCGTGGCAGTTGTGGCTAGATCTAATTCAAGCAGTGTGATCTGTGTGCAAGCTAAGAAAGCTAACATAGTACACCTTAAAAAATTTTCACTACTAAAAGACCCACAGTTCACTGCTTTTTGTAACACATTATTATGTTCTTCACCTTTAAATTGATTTCTAACAGATGCAGTTGCAGATGCAAAGAAGTCCCTAGAACTCAACCCCAGTAATGCTGTAGCACTCCTTAGAAAAGGGTACGTATCGTATATTGTGCTTTGGGAATACTGTGATAATCTGTACAGCAATACTAGTATTTGGATTATGGCTCAGTACAAACTTCTTGCAACACCACAAATGAATAAATTTAATGCCATACTGCTTCTAACCCATCCATAATAAAGCTGTGGTTATAAGAAACAATTGAGCTTGGGGTGACTATCTTAACATTCTAGCCATTTCAAAAACACACCTCTTGGGTGATTTAAATTCTTACATGTGTAATTTTAACCAATATAATGCGTAAACTAAGGATGTTGTGATCTTCAGAATGTGGATTAAATTGAAAAGTAATTACTGTTTCCTTGTGTTTTTCTTTGCTTATGTCAGGTTAGGTGAATATCATATTAAAAACTATGCATCTGCTTTAGAGTCTTTCAGAGAGGGACAGAGGTTGGACAGTAAGTATTAAAGTTTCTTGTGTGCACAGTACCGCTTTGCTAATGAGAAAAAACTCCTAATGTGTTAGTTGAAAGTGAAGACCAAGGCTGCCTTTTTTTTTTTTTTCTTTTCTCTTAAGGCTAATGAGTTAGGTGCCTGACTTGAGATGTCTGGTTTTTGGGAAGGTGTGTGCAATCACTGCATGAAAGTGTAAAACTGCTTAAAAATGCATATCAAAATTCATAGCAAGTAATATATGATTATTTTTTTTCTTTATAAAATGGGGGAGAGTGTTTTCCTGCTTCCTGGAGGTCTTATGAATAAATGATCACAATGGTGTGGTATTAAGTGTCGTAGAAATATTTCTGAACAGAACAGGCTCCTTATACATAGCTGGAATTTCTTGGTTGTTAAGCCATTTGATAGACTGGTCTTTAGAAAAAACATGCAACTTGGTAGGTATTGAAACTGACAAAATGGATTTTTACCTCACATTCATTATCACTTAATTACAGAAGCATGTTTATTATCTGTCTTTTTTTCTTAAAGTGTTGGCTTCCTGGCTGGATTTGCGCACATTTTAGTTTGGGGAGAATTGGAGCTTTTTTTAAAATCTGAATTTCTTCTAGAAGCAGGAAAGGAGTAGTTCAATACAGAAAGCTTTGGTAGAAGACATTGGGAAGCATACAACAAAGCAATTGCAAGATGATTGTAACTCCTTTCTCTTCCCTCCTATACGCCATTTAAAACAAAACCCTTTCCTCATTCCGTTCCCTCCTTCCCAACAGCAGAAGAAGACGGTAAGAAAAGCACCTTGAAAAGTTACACAGAGCAAAGTGCACTAATCTGATAAGCGTTGTCATGGTCTCAGATCTTTCTAGTATGTTGTCTTATCTGTAACAGTGGCTGGGATGTGAAGGTTTAGCAAAAATGTAATTACTTTGCCTCCCCCCAGTAAGTGATCTGCTCCTTTGATGTAATCTGATCTAAAAAATGGAGTTTCATGGGAGAGTGTTTGCTTGCTGCCAAGTGATTGTGCTCCCTCCCACTCTTGTGCTTGTTTAGCCTCTTCTTTCAATGCATTAAGTCTGCAGAAAACTACTGTTTTTAAAATATTTTCCCCCTGGATTAATGTGTTGAAATGGAGCAATGAAGGGTCTGAGTGCTGAGGCCAGCAGAAGTGAAGCTGCAGAGCAGTATTGGGGCAGTGGTAATGGTGGTGGAAGGGGGATGTGGTGGAATTGCAGCAACTGTTAGTTGTCAGCTTAGGCTGCTCTGGAATAGGCATTAAAATATAAGAAATTTCCTAAGTTGTTTCAGTTTTGGTAGTTTGGATAACTAGGTAGTCTCCACTAGTCTGTACGCTAGAAGGACAAGTGTGTCTTTGCAGTCTAGCCAAGTTCTCTAGTATCTTCCTGTGAAAGGAAGTGATTTGTCCAATGACTTCCATAGCTTTCCTTACTTGACAGGTAGCTTTTCATACATCTCCAAACTCATCACTCCTGAGTTTAACTGAATGAGTGATCTCTATTTTTTCATATTCTTGCCCCACCCCAAGCAACCACTATCAATTTGAGGCTTTTCATGTGCATGGATTTTGTCACCTTTCTAGTTTGTCAGTTGGAGTTGTTCAAAATACAGATTATACACAAAATCTCCTCAGGCCAGAGAATCTGTTTTTTTTTCATTCTGTTTAACTTCACATCCTACTTATGTTGTAGGGTGCAACAACACACAGAGCTGCAGGTATCTTTTTAGATAAGTCAGTGAATACCAGGACTCTCTCAGCTAATTCAGAATCCCTGAAATACAGCGCAACCTTTTCCTGTGTTGAATTGCTTGACTTCTACCTGTTTGAATTTAATTTGCTATTGTTTTGCTGCTTACCCAGTTGAAGTGTTTCTGAAGCTTCCCAGTTCTTCCTGATTATGCTCGCATCTGAAGATGGCTTCTGCTGTGCTTCCCGTATCTCGTTACAAAATTCTGTGACCCACTGTGAGATAAGAAATCTCCTGAAGGCCTTTTTAAAAATACAGATTTTTAGTTGATTCTCTCCCATATATTACCTAATTTGCTGTCGGTAACAGAATTTGCCTTTGTAGTTCTGTGGAATGTTTGATGGATCCCAGGTGAAAACAATTGTGAGCATAAGCATTTTGGCAAAACAATTAACTTCCAGTTAAATGCAGCTAGTGCAAAATGAACAAAGCACAGAGGGAAAATTTGCCACATGCTGTTAAGCAGGTGATAAAGAGAGAAGACTTTAGCTGTTCCTGCCTCAGAGAGGATTGCTGTGGTGGGGAATTCTTTGCTGGCAAGGTTGGTTTCTTTGCCACGCAAGGGGGCAGAAGTACACTGGTACATGTTTCTGTTCTTGTTGATGTAAGGGCTGTTTTAAATCTTAATCTGGAATGCTAACAATTAATTTAAGTTGCAGGGAAGCTCTGGAGCTCATCTAATTCCATGCCCTGGCCAAAAGCAGTATTAACTTTGAACTTGCATGTGGTTGCTCAGATCCTTCTACTGTTGATTTCCAAGTATCTCCAAGGCTGAAGATTCCACAGCCTCTTTGGGCAACCTCCACAGCCTCTTTGGGCAACCTGCTCCAGTGTTTGACCACTCTTTTAGTAGAGAATTTTCCTTCTCTAATCAGAACTTACTTTGATGCGTCTTGGGTCCTTTGCCTCACTTCCTTTCCCCATGTACTTCTGCGGACAGTCTGTGGTCAGTCATCTGAATACCTTAAGTGTACATTAGGTAATTGAAGACAGCCCTTGGATCCCCCAGCAGAACCCTCTGACAGTTAATTTTGGAGAATTCTATCTGAAAGTAGATATCTTCTTTTCAGGATTTGCTAGGAATATAGAAAACTGCAATCAGTGACTGATTGTATTGTAATATCAAGACAGCCATATTATTATTTGCATTTTTAGCTTTTCCTAACAGCAACTGAAAGGTTACATAAATGTTATGTAGCTTAAAATTCAGATACCTTTTAAGACGACTGGTGGGGATGGCAGAAGAAAAGGGAAGAGGATATGGCTTGAGAAGTGGGGTAACAATTTTAAGACCTAAGGCACACCTTAAAATTTATGTACATTTTATATTTGAAGGGGTTGGGGTGAATACTTTGCATAACTGCAGTGGAGTCACACTTGGTGTTACATGCATGTCTGCTGGGAACTCTTTTGTCGAGCCTCCTCAGGCCCTCTGCTGGATAGTTGGCTGCGTGAACTCCCTCAGTGTGAATTCTCTGTTGTGAAAGATAAAAAGTTTAGCTATTCCTAGTAGTTGGTCAGTAACATTGCCGCTTTTTTACTTTGTGACTGTGAAAGATTTTTCTGGGAATCTTGTTGAAATAAGATGATTACTCTGTCATTACACTACTACCATTTGAGCTAATTTCCAGTGAATTCACTTCTGTCTGGGGAGCTTGCTTCCTAGAATATAGAGGTGTTACTAAACTTTTCTATGATTTTGATTCATAGAGTGGAATTGGCACCTATGTATTCCTAACATCCCTGAAACTTCAGCTGTGTTTGTAAAGTTTGTGTGAAACCACCAGGAGAAGATACTTGGTGTTTGCGAAAACTTGTGCAACTTTGGGTTGTCCTCAGAACAGACTGTCTCTTCTGATACTTCTCTAGAGAGGAAGAATGTGACTGAGTGTTTGAAAAAATAATTTTAAGAATAATGGAAAAATGTGTAAAACTGTACTTCTTGCTTTCCAAAACAATTATACCGAGCTTGAGCAGACTGGAAAGCAGTAGTGTATTTGGGTCAGTTCTGACAAAATCTGGTGTCCTACAAATTAATTTAAGTTAATTAAATATAACAGAGTTAAATAGTAGAGTTGTATAAAAATACTTAAAACTTAACTGGAATGACAGAGGTTACAAGAAGATACGAGGAAATAATATAATTTTTTAATAAATTGATGGGAGTTTGGGATGAATTTGTTCTGATTGGCAGTTGTAAGAAATTGTTCTTTATGCAATACATATAGTGCTTGAAGAGTTTTAATGTTACTGTGTTTGATCTCTTTTAGATGTAGATGATACCTTTACTATTTGGATTAAAAGATGTGAGGAAACACTAAACGGTAAGAGAAACCACATTTACTTGATAAGGGATTTGATATGCCCTGTGCTTTGAAGCTGTGTCATGTTTTTCAAAGATTGACAGCTTATCTCTTACTTAGAACAAAAGAAACTTACGTTTTAAAAAAGTCACTTTTTCATATCTCTTGTTTCTCTGAGTATACATCCTGAACGCTTCTATACTTCAGATTTAAAGGAACATTAGTATTGGGTTTTTAATGTAATAATTAGCTGTGACAGAGGAGTACCTGTTTGAAGTTCAGACGATCATAATTAATTTTAACTTGCTTTCATATACAGCTGCTAGCTAACTTTAACTGTGGAAGCATGTGTCAACTTGCTTTGTTAAAAACAGCATCAAAATCAGTTTTCAAGTCTTACAGAATGTAACGTTGGAAAGAGAGGTGGAAATTTGGGGATTTTACTCTGATTCCGCTGATTTTTCCACATTTTACTCTGATTGGGGGTTTTTACTCTGATTGCTGCTCTGGTGTCTTACCCGTTGTAGTCAGCGCGTGTGAGTAGAGTTTCCTTTCATACCTTCCTACAACCTGACACCCCCGGCAATGAACTCATCCACTGTGCTTAAACTGCCTGTGGATTTTAATGAGCTATAACATAATAACTGCTGTAGTTTTTTCCTTCACTTGTTGTGACTTCCTCCCTCTTCGTGGTGCACCCTGGAGAATGGGGTAGTAGACATAATACAAGTTCATGTCAAACTAAAAAACAAATAGAGGAGAACCTTTTTGTGTTGTGTAGGAATGAACAAGCTTCTGCTTCATGATACATTTTTGCCGGGTTTATTTTCATTTGGAGAACTTATCTAAGTGATTGGCATGCATGGTCTTATTTGCAAAGAGTTATCTTGGGTGACAACTTTTTCTGCTGTTTCAAGGAAAGAGGTTATAATACGGATTTTTCTCTAACATCATAATTACTTTTTGCAGTGTTTTCTCTGGTTCAACTCAGTTATCCTGTTTTATCTTGAATATTCATCCCTGTCTTTTCTTTTTTGAGCCATTATCTTAATTCTCTGATACTCCAGGAAAAAAAGAAAAAACAAACAAACAAAATAAAAACACCCAACCCCAAAACGTCTTAATTACAACGTAATATTCTTTTTTTATTAATTTTTATCTCTTTTTAGCAGTATGCATTATAAAGAAGCAAAAGGGAAGTTTGTTTCTTTTCAAACATACTTAACCTGAAATATTTTATGAAAAAATATTTAGAAGAGGAGTGCTGAGCTATAATTTAGATCCAAGTATTACAGTATATTTAAGGTCATATAAGTGAATTTCTCTGCCAGATTTCCATCTCATTCCCCAACTGTGTTTGCCTAGCATGAGATACAGATTTGATGAGAACTTTGTGCTATTCCTATGGATGATAAACCTAGTACAGACTCATGGGAAGTGATTTTTTTTTTTTTAAACTTTTGTTTGCTGTGACGTTGCTTTCATTAGAAAAGGTCTGTATAGGTTTCTGATAAGCAAGGGAAGTAATGGAAAGTTTGTTCCTTCTGTTAATCAGAACATGCTTTATATTACAGTTGTTCCTTTGCACAAGTTGCTGATTGAAGTCTGATTAAAAAGTAGAGTGTCATAAAAGCAAAACACTAGAGGTAGAACTGGCACATTTTTAACTCTTCTACTGTTGAGACTGGAATAAATGCAGAATGTCTGGAGTAACTGAAGAAAGCTAGAATAAATATACGCCTTGTAAGTTCAATATGTCTTTTTCTGAAAGTGCAACTTTTTTCTTTCTGCAGCATCACAGACAGAAGTGGTAAGATGTTTTCCTTAATATGTTTACTGTTTCGATTTCTTTGTTAAGCTAGAGCATACTTAGGCTTCACTGGTGTCTTAAAACTTTCAGGCTTTAAAAATTATCTTTTCTATTGCATGCAGTTCTGAAGGATTTAACTTTAATATGTGTTCTTTCATTTGAGACCAAGGTTGCAAAATTTGAACTCTGAAAACTCTTAGGAATGGCATACAAATCTGGCAATTACTGTGCACTCATTAAAGTAAATTTTAACTTTGTCGCTTGCAGTCTGTGGCCTAATTCTACAAATTAACCAGCTCATCTTGTCAGTACTAACTTGCTTGTGACTGCTAAGAAGTAACCTTTTTTCCCCCGAGTAGCTTGCAAGTGGTTTGTGTGGACTTTTTTCTTCTGTAACTTGTTCAGTTTTCAGTTTCCTTTTTTTTAATTGGAAATCTTCAGAAGAAATGTTGAAATTGACACACACCCCTTTTTTTATTTTTGAGACAAAAATGGGAATTTGCATTGGATGTTCTGCTCCCTCTTTCATAGTTACTTCAATTTTTAAAATTTTAAGAATAGGATAGAGGAGGAAAGTGTACAGAAAACATGGTGGGTGTACAGAAAGACAAATCTTACGGTTAAGGTTTTTATGTTTAACAGTTATACCCTAAGTTCTCAGATCTGTTTCAGGTTTCCTTCATGACTTTTAGATTAGCATCATAGCCACTGTGTGTTTTTCAGGTATACTTCTTATCCAGGAAGAAAACGAGTTAAAGCTGAACTGATTGCTATATATTATAAAATGTCTGACCAATATATTCTAAGTTACAGACTGACATATTTAATGTAAATTGAAACTTTTTAATAAATTCTTAATCTGGCATGAATGGCTAGGAGAACAGTGAAGAGCTTCACCTGTAAGTTAATGCACAAACATAAATCAAGAAAAGGGGAGCAATCAGTATGAAAATGATTTGTGCCTTTGAAAAGTACTTCATCGTATATTTTCACTTACACTGATGTAATTTTCTTTCCAATGGAATATGCTTCAACTAGAATACACAGCAGCAGCCTCTGCCACCAAAGATCAAGTAAGTTGACTTTAGCTTTACTGTGAGAATTAAAATAATTGACATATAGCTGTTCTTTGACTTGGGGATTGGAGAAGCATGATAATGACTGTAGAAATTCTTTTCCGGTAACTTTAGAACATGGCAGTCTAAGTGAAATGTTTCTCAAACAGTGTCCTCGCTTTTGTTCAGACTGAATTGTGCTTTCAGGAGATAATGCCTCACTTGGAGAGTGGGGAATGGAGTAAGTATTCTGGCTTCTGTTTCTAGTTCTTGGGCTGAGCTTAATTCAAAGACAGCCCCATTATGCCTAGTATAGGTAATGTTTTTCAGAGGCTTTTAAGACCCTGAACTAAAAAGTACCATTTAATTTATAGAAGGCAAACAATATTATGAATTGGCCAAGAAAGTGACTTAATTTTGATATGCTTCTTGATTAAAAATGATTCTTTGTTCTTTAACCACTGATCTTGTCAGTTCTGCAGCTGCTCTGTTAGAGGAAGGGGAAGAAATCTAATTTTGTATGTCTTCTCTCCCCCATTAAACTACACAACGTACTGTTCCAGCTTTTGGTGGTGTTCTGTACATCTCTTTGCAGTCAGTTTTTTCCTCTTTTCTTTTTTTTTTTTTTTTTTTTTAGATATGACTGGTACCAAACAGAATCTCAAGTAATTGTGACTATAATGATCAAGAATGCGCAGAAGGATGATGTCAGTGTGCAGTTCTCGGAGAAAGAGGTGATTTGTATTGGTTATTGATACGCATCCCTAGATTCCCCAAGATGAAGTAATTAAACCAATGAACATTGTCCTGCAATAGCTTGAAAAAACTGGTACAAGAGGTCTTCTGTCTGAGGGGGTTTTTTTATGTACAGCTACATTGTAGATGTGTGTATGCTCAATCAAGTGAGGATTTATTGCCACAGCAGTGTCCGCATAGGATTTATACACAAGCGATAGTGTGGTGTGCATGCTACAAAGGGAACATCTGTTTTTCAGCTGCCTGTGTGTTCGGAGGGGTGAGGGAGGAAGTGATCTGGACTTAAAATGTTTGAGTATGCATGCATGTGGAGTAGGAATGGACAGAGGCAAGGTGTTCTAAAAAGAGGTATGAATGAGTAATACCTTGCTTTAGGACAATCATAGAAAAAGAATGAATGTTGGTGGGTGGGTTCTGGCATTACTAAAATTGTTAATGGCAGCAAAATATATATTTCAAGGAAGTGCAGTAATCTTTTTATTTTAATACCATATGCAGTACTGATGATGTTCATGTTTAATTTAGCTGAGAATAGTGAAGAGTTAGGTTCTTATTCTCAACTAAGTTGCTACTTCGTGAACTACTGGAAGTATTTGGTTGTTACTATCTGGTTTAGATTGTTAAAATTGTGTGAACACTTGCCACATAGTTTGCGTGTATTAGAAGGGAAGTTGCAAATTGTTTTCGTGTTCCATTATTAATGTGTTGATACTTCATTTGCCATATAATTCTTTCCCCAAAGAATGCAGATCAAGCTGACAAGATAATAGGCTTTTTGAGTACTTGCTGGCTAAGAATTGAAATCTCCTGTTCATTTTCTAGTGTACTTTAGAAACACCTTGTTCAATAATTCAGTACTGTAGTGGCATCGCCTGAAATTCTGACGCCTGATGCTTTAAGTGCCCTAGTGAAGGGTCATTAATTTAATCACTTAATCTTGGTGCCAAATGACAATCCTTTACTTGGAAATGGAAAACTGCTCTCAAAGATGACCAGAGACATGTTTTCAACTGTTAACAGATGAATGCATCAGTGAGACTTCCATCAGGTGAAGACTACAACTTAAGGCTTGTTCTTCTTCATTCTATAGTGCCAGAGCAAAGTACATTTAAAGTGCTTTCAACAAAGGTAAGCTTCTTAAAGTGTAAATTATTTCTTTGACTGTTCCTGATGTTGAAAACATTTCTGCTCTATTGTCTTGTCTCTGCAACAGTCGTAATATCTTGCTTTTCATATTGAATTGCTTTTTCTTTCTTCAAGGTGCCTTTCAGCCAGTGGGAGGCTTTCTAAACTTGTGCAAATATCAGAAATAGTAATATGATGGTGCTTACTGAACAGCAAAAGACAGTTATGTTGAGGATGCTTTTACTTGTTGCTGTAGAAAGAAGACTGTGGTCTTCACTCTTACAATTCAGGTATTAGGAAAGTACCAACACCTTTCTACTAAACTCTTAGGAGCTAATATTGCCTTATGAAGCATTGTTGTTTTTGTGTGCCCAAGAAATAAAAGTCAGACTTTGAGGATTTCAGTCTTGAAATAATTCTTTACCCTTTCATGACCTTTTCTTGCTGGTAGAGGTTAGCCATACAGTTAACTGTTCTTGGCTTTTCAAGAGGGTGTATTCCACGCTGTTCCTGGAAATAGTACTTCCTTGGAGACACTTGAAAATGGCATGGCGCGAGAGAGAATGCTTTCGCCTTAGCATTTTGTTTCTTCTATATTACAGGTATAGAAAAGCAAGAAACTGACTGTGGCCTGGCATAGTATATGTTGTTGGTATAACGCATAGACAGACATATGCTTTGTCCATAGAGCCAAGCCTGAATCTCTGAAGCAGGAACGTATTGTTGGGTTCTTTCCTTGTATTTCAGCAGTGGTTCTGCAGAGCTTTTGGAAATTCCTCTGTGTTCTTATGTTCCATTTTACCTGTTCCCTTCTCAGAAAGGTACCTATAATAGTTCTTGCATCGTTTCAGGGAAAAGGGACTTCAAGATGACATGAGAGGATTGCCATAGAAAGTTGGTCTTGTTTTTCCACTCCTCGCACTAAGGAAGCTGGGCAGGTTATGTGATTGAGTCACATGAGCTCTTACACTGTGGGAGATAAGCAGAGTGCTCAAAGTATGTAGAAAATCTGCTAGTCCATTAGTATTTATATACATTTGAGTGGAATGGGCACAGACCTTGTCAAGAGGAGTAACTGTGGGGTCCTGTTTGCTTTATGTTCCTATCTAGCTTATGTTATGCTTTTCATTTGTCTTGAAGTTTACCATTATTTCCATGAAGCATCTGCATGCTACTGAGCACTGTTGAAATGAACTTGACTTTGTCTTTCTACGCTACCATCTCTAGCCTGGGTTAATTGCTGGAATAATCTCCAGTAGTCTAGAGCCTGGTTTAGATTGAGGTTCCTAAAGTGGTGTGAAAGCTTTAGTTATGTTCAGGCAGTGTCTGATTTGTAAATATTTTGCATGTGTTTCCAAATGTTACTGTTCTTATATAATTATGAGAGAATATTTTTGAGACAAAATGGGATTAAGAGAGAACACAGAAGGTGTTCTAACAGTAGAAGTCGGTGCTTCAACACGTTCTTCCTCTTGCAGAAAAGAATAGTATAAGGACACCTGTGTAGGTATAGTGAAGGAATACAACTTAAGTGATGTCCCAGCTAATTCTGGTTCTGACCAGCAGATGGAGTCTGGCTGAAGAAAAAAAATTAAAAGCAGGTCTACGTTATGCATGCAGACTTCTTTAAAGGCCTAGAATATTTTACTTTGAAAAACATTAAGTGCTTTAACGGAATGGTGCAGCCTTAACTGTATTTGCAGAATTACAGATTCTAAAATAACTGCAAAGAGCAGACAGAACTTACAGACTCTGGGATTGGTTCTTTCAGGGAATGTTAACAGTGGTGAAAAATGCAATTGATACCTTGAGTTGTTTCTTTCCTAGCAATGAAATAGAAATTATACCTTTCAGTAAATCCATGCTGTGTCGAGCTCTGAGATACAAAGTCTCTGTTTGGAAAAGAACAGAACTAGCAAATGGTATGGAGGTAGCATAGATAGATGTTTGGAGGTGTTTGAATGGTTTCTGTATGCGCAAAAGTAAATTAGTGTTCATAATCTGCAGACTTTTGACTTCAAGCTGTGAGCTAGAAGAGGTAAAACACTTGACTGTGACGCAAGAACAGCATAATGTGTGGGTGAAGTCCAGTTTTGAGATAAAATCTTCATCTCTTTATGCATCCTAGTGTTGTATATTCTCTAATTGTCAACAGTTTTGCGGATGATACATACAGGCACTATTAAAGGCAGTCTATTACTACTGTGCTTGGAGCCATTTTTTTACCTAATTTAAAAGTTCATTTGCTATTTAATAGATTTCACTATGTGCAAATTCAGCTTTGAGTTGATTGTGGTTCCTGTTCACATTTAGTTGCAAGTTACTTAGAATTACCCGGTGTTGTTCAGCATATAATTCTGATGATTTAAGGCCTCAGCTTAATGTTTATGTGAGAAAATGCTGAATACAACTGTATTGAGCCCTTCTCTTGAGGGAGTTGCTATGTATGCATAGCATTTTTTTTTCTTGTATGTGAACAGCATAGTTGATAGATCATAACTAGATCAATTGACGTTATTGGTTATATTCCTCATCTGTCAAAGGTGACTGACTGTAGTAGTCTGATCAAGCAAAAAGTAACAGCAGCTCCAAAAAGCACCATGTAAGTTTGAGATTTGTGTCCTACAAATGGAAGATGATCTGGTCTTTGTATGTAGCATGACTTTGTACACAATAGGTAGGATTTTGTGTATTTTGGTGGTCATCCTCAATTGTGTCCAGGTGTCAGGTGAAGTGGGGGGAAAACTGTGCCACACTGAAAACTGCATGTTGCATTCAGCATTTAACAGGAGGAAGGTACCATTTAGGGGTGCTACTTGGTTTTTTTACTTCTTTCCGGAAGAGGGAGCCAAAATGTAAAGGCTGGACCAAGTTTGCTCTTTGGAAGTTGCCTGTGTGCCTGTAGCTCAGTGTGTGTAATATCGTTGTGCTCCCTTCATAAAAGGAAAAAGGCATAAAAACTTAAGGTGAGTGACTAAACACGTTTAAAGCAAAACTAGCTGATCTGTCTCTTTCCAGAAAATATGTCAGGAAAGTAGAAATGCGCAAATAGTGTAAGGATTTGTAATGTTCTGAAACAGTTCTTTGTGCACAATCAGCCTCGCTTTCTTTTCCCTCTTCTGTTCAGTCTATCAGTCAGTGTATTTGGGATTCCAGGGGAATGTTCTGCCATGTTCTGTTGGACACTTGTGTAACGTGAGCAGTTTCTCTAGGTCTTCTGTTGTGTCCTAGGTGATGCTCAGGGTTTTCTTCTCCTTAGACCTAGAAGAGGAGAGTAGGGATGAGTATGTGCTTTTAGCACGTGTGGTTATGAACTTGAAGGAAACTAGCACTTGAGCTAGTGCTTTCTCTTTTTCTTCCCCTCTGCTCTTGCATCTGCAAATAGCCTAGGGACAATTACTGTGAGTTTTTGGTTTTTAATGGTTTGAGCTTTTTGTAAGCGACGACTTGCAGCAATTTAGAGCCATTTGAAAAAGTGGTAAAAAGTGGTTTCTTTACCCCAGAACTGTCCTTTAATTAGAGATCAAAGTTGCGCTGCAGACAGGGGAGGTGTTAGAAATCCTCAGCCTCTTTTACAGTTGACATTTGTTACTTAATAGAGATGTCTGAGGTAGAAGCACACTCTCAGCAGCTTCATGCCAAGAATATGGTAGTGTGCATCAGTGGAATGTTTCTTCTTCTCAAACCAACATTTTGCCTTGCAAACTCTGAAATACTCTGTGCAGCTTACTGGAAAAGCACACCGATGCCTGTTGCTAAATGTAAAGGAAAAGGCAAAGAGTGAAACTGTTTCACATACTCTTGGACTGTCATCAGAGTCTCTATTCAGAGGCAAATGTACACAAATAGATAAACGAGGAACAGATTTATTTTAACTGAAGTTGGTTCTTACTGTTGCAGTCTGATCCTTAAAGGATACTTTCTCATTTTGGATATTTTCATTAAATTGCTTGCAGACACTTTAATGCAGACTTCCCTGCTCTCATGTACTTGTTTTCTCTGTGAGGCTTTCATTCAGATTCATATCTCCCATATATATTCTTGAGTATTTTCTGTAAATTATAAACTGATATTTAAGATATGAGTTGGATACTCTTCGGAAATTTCTTGCATCTCTTAGGCAAGGCTAGTTGGAGCAATTTCCTGGCTAGACCATAGAGAAACCTTCCCAATCATTGGCATGATATTTACCTGGCTTAAAATAAGTTTGATTTTTTTTTTCCTTCTTTATGAATGCAGATGGGTGTAGGGCAGATTTAAACTTGTTAATACTGTGAGAACTATATTTTTAACAAGCACGTAAGTCAGTGCCCATGCTTTATATAAATACGTAAAGGAAAACTATGTGTAAGGGTTTTTCTCTGTCTTGAGAGAAGATGGATTTAAGAACTATTAGAATAGCGATGGTTTACATTGAGGATGCAGTGACAAAGAGCTTTAGGATACCTAAATGATCTGTATTGCTAGCTCCTTCTCTAAAATTCAAAATTTTAACAAGTAGTTGCTATGTAATATCAGTGAGGTGGAAACTTTGACCTTTTTGCACTCAGTTCTCCATAGCTGGCAAAGAAACTGAAAGATGCACGCTGAATCCCTTCTGTTGCAATATATTTGCTACAGAATAAATTTCTTAATTATCATTTATTTGTGATAAAACTGTAGAGTTATTTTCATCTCAGTATATTTTGTTTAAAGTTAAGGACCAAAGATCGTGGAATTCGGAATATAAGCAATGTATAAAAGGTCTCTGAATAACTAGGATATCAAAACTGTATGTGCATATGATCTTAGAGATAAGTTTGAATAGGTCATACATTTTTAGAAGACAGTGCTATTTTGTCCTACCCTTAAATTTAGGTAACAAAATACATGAGATGATTGCAAAATGACAACTCTAAACACTTAAATTTAGAACTCAGACAAAGCAGTCAGTAGTTCAGTAAATAACTAAGTTGATTGGAAACTCTGAATTCCCATTTTCGTGTGTTTAATATAGCAAAACATCAGAATTTAAAAGGGTATTTTTTGATGCATCTTAAAATTAATGGCTGAACTACTGCCTGAGCTTTGACAATTCTGATTTCCTTCATCCATCTGATCAGAGCTTGACACAATTTGCCAGTGGTAAGTGAACTTTCCCTTAGCATGGACTGTAAAATATAAAACACAGGAGAAAATAGAAAAAAATTCTTGTAACTTGTCAGTGTGCACCAGAATCTTCTTTTAGAGAGGAAGATAAAAATTCTTTCCCTTTTAATGTTTCTCAGTTAAACTGGCAATGTCTGTCCCAGAACGTAAGTTCAGGTGAAATCTAGTTCATCAAAGGTTTGGGCTTTTTAACAGCAAGCTTCTACCTAGAAAATTAATGTTGGCTAACTAGTGTTGTGTTTAGCTAAGGGGAGAAATTCTTTCTTAAGACTAGATTAAATGTTCTTTCATGCCAGTCATCTTAAAGTAAGGGGTTTTTGTGTTCTTTTACTACCAGTGAAATAGTTTAGAATAGCTTCTGAGAGTAACTCTGTGGCATCTTTTCTGATAGCTAGCGCCTGGATTAAGCTGCAGACAAACTTGGCTAAACCTCTGATAGGTTTTAAAAAATGGATTACTTTTATGACTAGAAAACTCTGTGAGTAGAAATTTCTCTGTATCCTTTCACTGCAGATGGGGTTTCTTCTAGACGATGAATCCCCCATTCGACCCTCTTCTCAGAGGGGCTGGTTTCTCTCAAGACAGTATTTCAAACAAGTAGTGCATGAATTACTGTGTCAAAATTCCATATTTATTTTCCTTTTTGCTTTGCTTACTTTGAGCCCAAAATATCAGAAACTTAAAAATTACAACAGAAAGTGGATTATTTCTGCGTTTGGAACTTTTCCTACATCTGGAGTACTGTGTCCAGTTTTGGGCTTCCCAATGCAAGAAAGGCACTAACGTAGTGGAGGGCTACCGAGATGGTCAGGTGGCTGCACGGCATGAGCTACAAGGACAGGCTGCGGAATTAAGCTTGTCCTTAAGTGGCATTTAATTTGCAATGAAACTTTCCTGTCTTTTATTCTAAAGTTGGCACGAGGCACACAGGCATGCGTTTTATGAAATATAAATGTTAAATCAAAGTAGTTGGCAAAGTGTTGATGTATTTCTCTTGCCAGAGTACTGAATTTTCCTCTCCTTTTCAAAGGAGAGGAAAAAGCTAACCGTACTTACATTAGATATGACACAAATGTCCGTACTGATATGTTACTTGTCTGTGTGATAGCTATCAGTATCTGCCATAAAAAGTTCATTAAAACACATTTATTGCCGTTTGTGCACATAATTGGGACTCGCAAAGTTGATTCTCCTTAGATCAAATAAAGCTCTCAAGCTGAAGAAATATGCGCCTTCACAAGCAGAATTTTATAGCTTTATATTTTTGGAAGATGTGGTTGTATAATGGTATACAGCTAATGATTTCCCTAGTTTTTGCTCCTGCCTGCCGCTTTGCCTAGTGAGTAACTTCAGTTGAAGCGGATGGAGTAGATGGGGGAGAGGTTTAATCATGTCATAAATACATTCTGTCTCAATTCTTCAGCTGTCTATACTGCTAGCTTGGCAGGGTTGAAATGGTTTATATCTAAGAAATCTGCATCTTACACTGGGAATTAGTTTGTAGCATTTCCTTTTCCTTAGGGATGTTTGTCATGTGGTACTGGCTTAGGGACCGTTTCAGAGACGAAAATGTAAGAACTAGCAGATTAAAAAAGGAGAGGGGGATTACTGAAGCAGCAAAAGTAAAGATCTTCCTTTTTTCTTCTTTTTATGCGTGGGCAGAGTACTCTGATGAATAGCCAGAGGTCTTTATAAGGGTTATTTGAGGAGGGTTGTATACTGAGAAGAAAAAAGTCCATGTTTAGTAGCTCACATCAAGCATTATATTGCATTAGAGGTCATTCTTGGTGCAGATGAAATAGTGTGTATTTGAGATACTGAAAGATATTGGTGGAAAGCCCAAAGTGTAAGGGTAAGAGGAGGTAACGAAGGAAGAAACAAACGGAAGAGAAATTGAAGTGGTATAGGGTTGAGCAGTCTCAGTATCAAGCATTTACTCTCTGTTTTGTTTTGTTTTGTTTTAAATAGATCATATGGAGGGGGATGCACTAATAAGCAGAGTATAAAATCTTAAAATTAAGGCCTCCTCAACTTAAACGTGCAACTGAATTGATAATACAGTTTCCTCAGGTTGAGAAAAGTTGTATAGGAAGCAGAGGAGAGACAGGTTGTTTTAAATTAATACTTAAGTTTCACTTCAACTAATTAGTGCCTTTGTAAGTGGCTGATTAACTTAAATGTTTGACTCATGAGATCCAAATCCACTTGGGGGAAAAAAAGCCCAAACAACCCTGCTAGTTCTGGCACTCATGGAACTACTTGTTTGTCTTATACATAGATACACAAATATTTTAGCTTCCTTAAGCTAATCGCAGAGCATTAGATCTATGAGTGTAGGTATTCAAAAATGAACTTTAAGGTTGTAATTTCCAAAGCGTTTTTAGAAGAGTCCAGTGAAGGAACCTTTGCTGCCTTCTTTAGTTCTACTGAAGACTAATCATTGGCACAGTTTGAATGCTGCTTCTGCATAGTTTCAACAGAAATCTGTGTGTCCTTACAGATAGTAATATTAAACTCTGGAATACAGGCCTTCTTTAGAGACAGTAGGTTGAGCAACTAGACTAATACAGTATTTTATTGTTATTTGATTATTTTTGGTTCTGTGACTTTCACTATTTTAAAAACTGATACCCTGATGCTTAATTTGTGACTTGTAAAGTTGCTAGAAACATTGGAAATCCAACAGACACGGGGAGTGGGATGTCAAATACATGTGAGTGTTGGATTTACAGACTTATTGAAACTCTCCCCTGCCTTGAAGGGCATTCCATGCCTCATGTCTTAAGCTTTTTGTTGTTCTCAGTTAGTAGAAGTTAGTGGTAGAAAATAAGTATCTAAACTTGTCTGGGGAAATGGTAGCTTCCCCGGGGGGGGTGGTGGTGGTGGGTGGAAAAAGCAATCATAATTAAATATTCTGATTCTTAAAATGCAGCATGATTGCAAACATGGAAGCTTTGAAACTTAAATGAGCTCATTTCTTTATTTTTATAAGGCATCTCAGTCTGTTGCTTACCAGTGACTGATTTGAAGAATGGGTTAAATAAAGTTCAAATTTCAGATCAACGTGATGCTGTGCAAGGAGCTTGCTGTTAGGATCTCTAGGGTTAGCTTTTACAGTGGTGCCTTTGTTCTTGGGTCTGCAGGGATCCCCAGGTTATAGTGGCTTTAGGTGGAACGAAGAACTCGCTTCTGCTGAGCTGTTCGCAAATAAGGAACTGCTGAAATTCAGCAAGCACTGATTTCAGTTAATTAAGAGCATCATATGAACTTCGTGACATTTTCTTAAGTGAATTTGTTGTTTGGAGTGACATTAGACAGTCCTTGTTTTGCAGACATTGTTTTGCAACTTTGTAACCCTGTGACCAAAGGGTAAGGCTAATTACAAAAAAAAATTTCAATATGGTTTTGTCTAACGGGATTGTGTGTACTTGTGAGTAGGGCATGACATACTTCACTTAATTTTGTTTCTCCTATGATAATTGCAACCATATCCGTTTTTAATTGCCAGTTTTGTCAATGAATACTAGACAGTTTTTTCCATAGCAGTGTCTGTTCATTGAACCAAATGAATACAGCTTCTGAATTTCTCCAGTGGGAAGATCTGCTTTATCCCAGGGTGTTTCTTTGGCTTGTGTACTACACATCAAATACGAATTTTTTTGGTGGATGAAATGTAAACCTAGATAGAGTTGGATTTTGCAGTACTTCAAAAGTACTATTTAATTATTAGAGCTGTCTGGCAAGAAAGGGATGTTTGAAAGATAATACCTTGGTGCCTGGCAGTGTAGAGAATTGGGACTGGCCGTTACTTTTGAGATACCATAATGTACAAGAAGAGTCAAGTGAATAGTAAGCAAAAGAAAGCAAGTGGTACTAAACAAAAGGGTAAAAGTCTGATACAAGAGCTATGCAGCCACATAAGAGCTTAGTTGACATGTGACTTGAAGTCATGTAACTTCATCGTGTAAGGTAGGTAAATTTTGTTAAAATACGGGCTTCGTATTAGAGACTGTCTCTAAAAAGAGATTTATTTTCTGACTGCTACAGGATCCAACTAATTCAAACCTATTTGGCAGAACTGTTTGCCATCTGGATTAATTTGTTCTTTGTCTTGTGTTTTGTAGGTTGAGATAAAAATGAAGAAGCCAGAGGCTGTAAGATGGGAGAAGCTGGAGGGGCAGGGAGATTCTCCTAAGTTAAAGCAATTTACACCGGGTTCGTTCTCTGAACTATTAAGTATTAAATGGTTTATTTGTATTGTTACTTGCAGTTATTAATATTTTTTATGCTAAATATTGTTAATAAAATCACAGCTTCATTTTTATAATGAAAAGCCTAATAGTCTTGTTTTTACTGCCAAGAATTGACAGAAAAAGTCTGCAGGGCATTACTAAAACTTACGTACTAAATTTAGTCAGAACTTCCATTAATCTGGTGGATTGTTAAAGATATATGCTTGTCATTAATTCCTCTGGGCTTATCTGTTTTGGTCACTGTTTTGCAGTTCTATGCATTGTTATGCCTCTATTGTTGCTTAAATAATTTAAGTATTATTTACTAAAGTATTCTGTCTCTCTTGGAAAGTAGTACTCTTGCAGTTTTTCAAGTCAGATTAACAATCTATCTTTGAGAGAATTTGAATTTCCTGATTTATTGATTTCAGATACTTTTTGCAATTTAGCTCAAATTTTCCTATGGCTCTAGGCTGCTGGCTTCCCCACTCCCCCCCCTTACTGTCAGCCAATATCTCCTACCTCATTTTGACTTTAATTATTTGTGTTGCTGTTATCCAGCATTTTGTTGTTGGATAACTAAATTATGTAACTGTGTTTACTTAAAAGTAAACCTTTGCAGCTGGTGAATGTAGTCTCTTGCATTTCTTAGTTTCCTTTATTTTTGTTACTGCAATGCTTATATCAGTACGGAAGAATCCATTTGCATTTTGAGATTCATGTTCCATTATCATCTCTGATTCATCGGATACATATATGTCTGTGTGTTCCCTGCTGCTCTAAAAGTCGTGAGAAAATGCTTAGTTAACTAACACTTCTGTTTTCAGATACCCAGCACTTATATCCATCATCCTCTCACTATACGAGGAACTGGGACAAACTGGTAGTTGAAATCAAAGAAGAGGAGAAGAATGAGAAGTTAGAAGGAGATGCTGCTTTAAATAAACTCTTCCAGCAAATTTATTCAGATGGTACAGATGAAGTGAAACGTGCCATGAACAAATCGTTTGTAAGTCTTAGCTCTTTTTCTCTGAAGAAATGCATAACTTTTGCACGTTGGCACAATTTACTGAGCTTTGCGTGAACCGGGAAGCCGCTAGCTACCAAAACCTTGGGCCTATAATGAATGGCAGTGGTTCTGTTGGAGGTACTGGTACGACAAGTCTCTCTGAAAGCTACAATATTGTACGCTAATGAATGTGATTCTTTAAATCCAAGTTTGTGCCTCCTTGAAGCTTGTGCTTTGTCACTGGTCTCTTTGTTTCAATGAGTGTTATCAAAGGAAATACAGTTTTTGACTCATCTAGAGCTTGAAGAGTTGCCATGAGTGAAAGGATCAAATTCCCTTTAATTGTTTATATCTGGTTCCTTTTATTTGTAGCCCTCATATTCAAGAACCTGACTGACCTTTTAAAAGCTTCTTGTTAATGAAGTGACATCTGATTGTGTCCAGTACTGATAAAAGTATCGTTGGGCTGAAGATTATGGAATGATGGCTTTGTCAAATTTCATTCTACATATACACAGATTTCCTGTGTAACTTGCTTCTACGTGAAGCTAAATTCTTCACCTTTCTTCAGAATTTGTTAATCTGCTGTAAGAAATGTGGCTTTTGTATTACTAGAATTCCTCTAGCAAACTAAACAAGCTTTCTTTCGTATTGCAGATGGAGTCTGGAGGCACAGTTCTGAGCACTAACTGGTCTGATGTTGGTAAAAGGAAGGTAGAAGTAAATCCTCCTGATGACATGGAATGGAAAAAATTCTAATCCTATTTTTAATCTTTTACCATCTATGTGTTGCCATAGTCATGTACTGACCACTGTGTATGGACATAGCATTCTTGGATTCAAAGCACTGAATGTTCCATTGGAAACAGGAATTGTCTTTGCATTTTGCGTGCTTTAGAAATTCCTTCATCTGCAGATGTTAAAAGATATACTCAAGAGTGGGACTCTATTTTCATCATCTCTGTCTAATTTTTGGAAATTGAGTCAATCACAGTCTAAATTTTCTACTGCCTTTATCAGCTCTGCTCTTTGGGGATGGGGTGATCTCTAATGGGCTGGTCAGGATTATTACTTTATGCCTGATATTTCTGTTCAATAACTTATTAGATCTTGGCAACTTTGGTAAAAACACTTTTCAACAACAGTGTTAAAATTGTTTGCTCTTTAACTCTGCTGAATAAAACTGTAAATATAACTTTTTCTATACGGAAGCTGCTTCTTTTCATTTTTAGTAATCTTGTTTTTTGATGGGGGGAATCACTTAAAGCATATAGGTAAGGATGTGAATACACCGCTTAAAAAAAAAAAGCTGGCATGTATAGGATCAAAACTTGCATTCAGTGAAGAGGATGAGATTGCTATTCTTGATGCAGACACAAGCTTTTGACTTGCAGAGTCCTTCCACCTGGATGATAGGTTGAACTGCAGTCATATGTGATGGAAGGAAGAAAGTCAGTTGTGGCTGGAAATTTCTACAGAAAAGTGGGTCCTGTGTCTGCCTTCTATATTCAAAAAGAAGTATCTATTGCAATTGCCTGAAATCAAAGATAGCAAGCAGTTGCTTTAAGTTCTGTTATTTCAGAATATTGGAAACTGTTTATATTTTAGAGGAGAGCCCGTGTGTCCTTAATTGCTTCCATCAGTTCAGCTTTTCCATCATGATCAAAATTTAAATAACAGCATTTACAGAAAAAGAACTGAGAAATGTAAGAAACGCTGTCTATGCTTGGATACAAGTCTGCAAGGGTCTATAGACGCTCAGAAGCTGTCTGGACATGGTCCTGGGCACCGTGGCTGTAGGTGGCCCTGCTTGAGCAGGGGGGTTGGACAAGATGACTTCCAGAGTTCCCTTCCAACCTCAACCATTCTGTGGTTCTTTGAAGGGCTTCTTACAAAGTTGTGGTAAACTTGCCTAGTCCACGTGCCGCTGTCTCTTGGGAATTCAGATACACCTGAATATTTTAAGACTCTAGAAAACCCCATGAATTGCAAATATTGGCAGCCCCCTGAAAGCCATTTCATTCCTTGCTAACCAATGGGTGCTGCTTTAAGTTTGCTACTTTTCCTTGCATTCCTAGTTATGTAGGCTTTTTCCAGATTGTTTGTTATTCTGTCTGTTTTCTTTGTATTTGATACGTTATTTTACTACAGTGAGAATTGGATGAGCTTGGTAAAATATAAAGGCTATTAGAACAAGTGTTTTAATAGGACGAGTGAAGTCTGCAGCTGTTACAGTGATAAATGTATGTAAAAGATGATTGAAGACTAAGGAGGAGGAAGAAAGGATGTATTCCGTTCCTTCTGTGGACTAGGAATTTAGGTTTTGCAGTCATGGTGGGAAACTGCAGTGTTTTTTTTCCTAGTATTGTTAATATACCTGTGCAGTAGATAGATACCAAGATTGTAAAATCTCACAAGTCTTAGAGAGAGCTTGTTTTTGGATGTATTGCCATAGCTATGAACCTCAGAATGTCATACTTGGCAGCTGTAGACTATGACTACAGTCTTGATGTAACTGCAGTTTCTTGATACGCTCAGATCATGATTATCCTATAGTGCAAGCTGGACAGTGATTTCTTTTTGACTCACTTTTAGCTTCAGAATGGACTCATGTTTTCCAAAGCTTGAATTTGATGACCTTCAGAACTGAATGTTATCCTGGTCTTTGAATATGATGAAGGAAGATGGATTGAGTTTAGCAAGGTTTTTGTGTGTGCCTTATCTCTTGACTCTTACTGAACAACATTTGCTTCTTGGGAGAGTTTCTCAAAGGGAATACTTGTGGTATATTTCAGTGAAGCTTTGTTAGCTTCAGTGGGGAATTTCTTGCCCTTCAGAGAATTCTGAGTAGCTAGTTGCTCAATATCTAGAGCATTTGCCATCCAATGGGATGCTAACATTAAAGTTGACTTGATTTGGAACAGACTTGAACTTGATTCTCCTAGATGAGAGCTTTGCTGCTTTTTTTTTTTTTTTAATTTATGCTCTGAAAGGCATTTCTTCCTTTCTAATGTAGAAGGAAGACAAACGTCTGAGCACTTCACTTTGCCGCAAAATTGGGTTCTTGTCTCTTGGCCAGCCTTGCTTTATAAATGTCATTCAGAGTGCTTAACAGCACTTAGCAAAGACTTGCTATGGGAAAAGCCTAGATAAAAATCTCTTAAATAGAAATGAAGAAGTAATTTGAGGATGTTTTCTGCCAATCAAGTTGTTCTTACTTACCAAAGAGAACACAGTAGGGGTTCCTCTGTCTACTTTCACTTACAGAAAGTCCATGGGAGTATTTCATCAGATAAGCGCAATATGTTCTTGTATTAAATGGGTACTGTTTCAGTGCTTTGGGATTCAATTCACTTAGCTTAAAGCAAAAAGTAAAATAAAATGCATTGCTACTTATGTACTCTTGAGGCATATGTAATGCAAATATAATGCTTTAGCTTCAGGCTAAAACTTGTAGCAATCAAGTGTTAGACCTCCCTGTCCATTTCAATCCTGTGAGCAAAGTTTGCAGGTCTAAACATAATTCCAGCATGTTTCTGAGCACAGACAGATAATCCGTGTGTGTATATTCCACCCTAAAATTTAGGTGAACCAATAATGGCAGCTTTTCTTGCCTTATGGGGGTATTGGGGTTTTTTTGGGGAGGAGGGGATTGGATTAAAGCAATAGGTAAAACTTCCTTGTAAAGTTGGGGGGAAGGTGCTTCATGAACTTTGTGAACAGTACATGTTTTGTTCTTGACAAAACACACACACAAAATGGTTCCAGAAGCCCTAGGTCAAGGGAAAGATAGCAGGGAGCTTGGAGGTTGAATAGAGGCTGTGAAAGATATCGGTGATAAAGGGGATTTCCTTCGGGACCAGAGAGGATGAGCAGAATTTGTTGCAGCACTGGCAATGAGTTGGCTGGAGACAGAGAACTGCCTGCAAGGACAGAGCGGATGATGTTTTAATTGTGTTCAAACTTCTCTTGAGGTTTTTATTCCAAGCCTTTTGGTCATCTGTAGGTAGTACTGTCTAGAAGACCCAGGCAGTTTCACCTCAGTGCTCTGATTTGTAGTCCTGTTGCAAATACAGGAACAGGACAGCAAGAGGTAACAGTAGCTTTCCTATTTAATACCACAGATGGGATTACTCTCTGCTACTGTTCTTGGGGGTCACAGAAGATGCCTGTCTGTTGTAGCTTAAGGCTGCCTCTCTCATCTTTGGTATACGTGCAGTGCTTGTGAAAGATCAGTTGAGCCTCTCGAAAGCAGACGATGGTGGTGCTACTGGTTCAGTCTAACTCTTGCCCTTTCTGAGCAGAGATTCTGTCCACCCTGATGTGCCAATCAACAATCTGTTCTTTGCCAACTGTAGTTTTTAGCTACATTACTAGCCACTTTACTAGCCACAGACCATGTAAGTGGTGTATCTGCTTCTCTTACGATCACTGGAGCTTTCTTGGCATGGTGCGCACAGAAGAGTTCCCAGGACGTACATGCTGTACGTGACAGTTTAACGCATCCATGAGCAGGATGCTTTTTTTACTTCTTACGTGCTTTGTGACTGCCTATAGAAAACAGCTGATACAAGCTTTTGTTTAGGAAGAGTTAATTTTGTTACAAATGTGTAGACATGGAAATTGCCTACAGGATCGTTTTTTTTAGCATCTTCTGAAGAAGACTTTTTTTTTTACTGGTGGGACACAGGGAGAAGCAGGTCATGGGTTGCCTCAAGATGGCCTTAGATGCAAAAGACAGCAACAGTCTAGTTCATATATACAGTCACACTTCCTTCTCTTTGCTTTCAGTGTTTCACTTCTGATCCCCTTGTTTTTCTCTCCAGACAGTTCTTGAACATGTACGTAAAGGTACTGTTACACTTTCTACATTGAAAAAAGCACAGAAAACGATTGCCATTTTTTAATGTATTTGTTTATCTGCAGTAAAAAAAAAAAAGAGGAAACCCGACTTTTCTAAGCATATGAATGACGTACTTCTAAAACAACATAATGATCAAGGTCATTTTCATTTTAAAAAGCAGAAACTCAAATTGAACAGGCCTTGAAATCCCACTTTAAGAAGTTTTAAATTTAAATATTTCAAAGCGAGTCTGTTCTTCAGATTAAGGGAAGGTGAAGCTTATGTTAAAAAAAAAAGCTACAATAGAACAAAATACTGAATTCTATTCTCATCTTATTCTCATTTAACACTTTGCTTTTTAGATATGCAGTTTAGCATTCCACATGAGGTTGTCTTTATTTTCTTTAAGCCACGATTATGTCAAATTAATTCCTTTTTTTCTGTGTGTCACGCAGTGTTAATAACATTACTAGGCTTGCAACATCTCAAGAGCTGTTTAATCACAAAAATGAATGGTCCAGAAAGTGAACTTTAAGAAAAATTGGGCCATTCTGTTTATAAAGCCAATGTAGATGGCTCTGTAAACTCATTGGTAGGGTTCAAGGCATATAGTATGGATGAAGGTGGTGTAATACCTCTGTCTTTGTTTTTCAAGTCTAGAAATCCTAAGTCATTCCACCTTTGTGAGTGTTTCAGCTTAGTACCTTCCTTAGAGATTTAATATGTAATAGGATCAATCCCAATAACTGCAGAGTTTGCCTAAGCAAAAAGGGTAAGGTTAGAAACCCTTCTTTTTTTTCTTTCTTTTTTTTGTCTCACTGGTAAGCAGTTTCTCTTGCAGGGAACGGAGGTTAGCTTCAGCGAAGCTAAAGGAGCTAGCATGAATGGCTGCTATCCACGTGGAATAAAGAGGGGTTGTAATCTTCTGTCAAAAGTGTCTAGTTCAAGGATTTATAAATACAGTGGCTGTTGTAGATTCTGAAGGGTCTTGACACTCTTTGGTCTGCAACTGCATGTAAATACTTTTGCTGTAGAAGCTGGATAGCAGATACTTGTTAGACACTACAGTGGTATCATGGATACAAGATTCTTGATGCTGGGGCTTCTTTGATGTTGGGATGTGCGAAGCGTTTTGATTCTGCAGCCACGCACATTCCCTTCCGCAGCCCCTTTTCCTGCCGTTTGTTTCCGATTTAGCACAATGTGTGCTTTCCCGTGTCCCCCAGAGCAGCTTTGTGGGAAAGGTATGCTGTAATTGGTTTATAACCATTCGTAATGACCCGGCAATTCGGTATGAATAGCAACGGGGAGCAACTTGTGATTTATTTAAGTAAGCTACATGGATGAAAGGTACTCCCA